GAATTGGACGAAGTCTTTAAAGTGAAGTTGAGTACAGCTGCAGAACGCCGCCCAGTCGCCGCCACGGCAAGTTGAGGAGGAGGAGGTGGCAAGCCTGGGGTCGTCGGCGCCTCCCCGAGTGCGCGCCTATAACGCCGTTTCTCCGTGTTTCACAAGGTCTCACCAAGGTCTCACACCGTCCATTGACTCTTGCCGTTCTTCTGTGGTATGCAGCGGAGACTAGGATAGCACTATCCTCGGTCAATCTAGTACCGGAACACCACCGAATTCTGGTAATGCTATGATTACCCAGTCCCTTCAAAGCCGTCGACTGTTTTCCCCAAACAGTCCACCGTGGTGTACAAGGCGAGTGTTCAGATATGCTACTCAAAATGAAGATATAGCAATTATAGTGATGACCGGAAGTTGTTTTCAGGCCATATAGGCAGTCATGAGCATTTGTGCGTGTAAGATCCGACACAAACCCCGTGGAGAGCTTTGGTACGAGACTAGGTGCGTATGGCGACCACCGGGCATCAAGACCTGATTCTATCGCGGCCTCAAGGAAACCTGAGCCACTGTGAAATCTTCGCTTGTGAGCTCGGCTCCGCACTTCCTTGTGACGACGTTCTCTGCGGATTTGGTGATGCCATAAGCAGCGCCCTGCGATACTCAGTTGTGTCCTTTGCATAAGGCCACGCTCGCCTCCAAGGATGTCTTTCTTGGTATTGCCGACAACGTCGAGCACTTGCGGAACGAAGGGATCCGCGCCTAGCCGTTCTTCAGTCTCACTGACGTTCATTCAGCTCAACCACATATTGCACGTGGAGAGGAGGGCGCACTAGTGCAATAGCCCACTCAGAATATCCGCTTCTTCAAGGCATGCAGCGTAGTAAAGCAGGGCGTTGAGACGACTTATACTGATCTTCGCCACCCCAGACGATTCGTATAACTATGTAAACGTGTCAGCGAAGCATTCCGAGAAGAGCTGAAAGGACTATCCTGACATAGCTGACGAAATATGCAGGGTTTGCCGCGGAAGCCACATCGACTCGTGAAGCAACGCAGGAGATTCGCTATTGCTGACCTGCGCACCATGACGGGGATCTATAATTGTCGTAACACTCACTCCCGAGTGTGAGCGAGAGTCTGCTTCGTTACCTGGATGCCCTACCGTTCGGCCAAAAATCATCACAGCGGCTGCTGTCTGAACATATGGATGAACGCGTCCATCTCCAGCCTCTGAACCACAACTGAAGTGAGTGCCATTATCTGTCATCTTAGTGTCTGACGTTACCTCGTGGAGTCTATCATTACAGAGGTCTGTCCTAACAATTATTCGGATGGCTCGCGTTGAGAAGTCCGGATCCTCCGTACAGTGTCGGACACTGTAGTCCCGGTATTCGCTCTGATGCATGCGGGCTAGGCTGTAGTGCTCGATGAATTGGTGGTACGTTGTCATGGCCAAGTAGACGTCGCGCGCACTCTTAGACTGGTTCTCTTACTCAGTGTGGGTCTACTTTTCATAGGCTACCCGCCATCGATTGATCTGTTGCTGACCAAGCCATGTTTCGAACCGTACTTGATATTAGATGTGTCTCGTCCGTCGCCCGTCCTCGGCGGACTCCTAGACTCCGGTCCTTCATGTGTCTACGAAGCAGACCCATTCTGCATATTTCTGTTTGACTGGAAACGACGTCATCAGGCTGGTCATCTAGCTATTTCGCTTGCACAGTCTGAAGTACAACACCTTGTCAAGCCGTCTTCCGACGACCGCTTCCAGCCTTGATCCTGAACCACATAGCGCTGGTGTGTTTCGTTCTTGCACAGCCACACAACATACACACGCTGTATTACCCGAACATCCTCATATCAGATACTCACTTTGCAAGCATGGCAGTGCTCAAGCGAGGCCACCCGAGTCGGACAGTTTTTGTGTCGCCGAAGGTGGATATCGGCGCTGAACACTGAGCATTTCGCGGAGGCGGAAAATCTTGCTCTGCTCTAGGGTCTAGGTAACGAACTGGACATATCTTTTCAACTGTCTGCGTCTACTGCTAGTCTCTGGACTCATGGGTGAGTGGCTTTTGCTAACAATAACGAAGCTACATTTCGTTAATGAACTCCACCGGCTGGTACCGGGGTAGGTGTGTAAAGCTGTGGCTACCGCACCCATCACCGGGGATTATACTTATGATTGTCGAAAGAAAGACGTACAATCATCACGGGTGACCGCAGCGGCATTCTATCTGATACAGGCACTTTCATTGCTTGGATGCACCATAGCATGTCATGTTTCCGCGTGATATGCATGGGCCTCTACGCTGACGCGCTCGTCATCGCTTTGTGCGGCATGCATATAATGTGCATTGCTGAGATGATACAACCCCGCAGCTTCGCAGAGCTCTGCTTCCACGACACGTCATGCCTGCCCTCATCCCCGTTGACAATCTCTTGGGCGCGGCTTTCATCGGTATAGTACTCTCAACTGTGTACGTTTACCTCTGATCTTGCTTTGCTGAATCGATGCTAACTATTGCGTCAGGCTTTATGGCGTGTCGTGTCTGCAGACATACTTGTACTATACGCAATACAGCAAAGGCGATAGCCTGCGGCTGAAGCTATTTGTAAGTCCGTCTTTCGCGAGCCCTCCCCCTCAATGGACTCATGACTCATGGAAAACGATGCGTCAGGTTGCCCTCGTCGTGTGAATTGCACATTTTCTCAAATGGTTGAACCTCAGAACGCTGATGTTATCGCCAGCGCCTTGGATACCTTGCATGTCGCGCTGATATCGACCGCGTACTATCACTATACAGTGACAAACTTTGGGGACTCTTCCGCGCTTAAAAGAGTGACTTGGTAAGTGGAAAGCGGATTGGAAAACACGGGACGTTGACTACTTTGCCTTAGGAGTCTTGCGGTACGTGTCATCCGAATAACCCGTAAGTCCATGTCATAGACAGGTGAACAGGTTCAGATAACGTTCGGAGTACGTACCGTTGCGATATCACCAATGCAGGCTTGTGCTAATCAGGGCTCGGTGCATATAGGGCCTTGTGGGGTTGCTGGTGCAATTGTGAGTGTAACAGCCCTGCTGGCCGACGCTAATCTAAGTGGCGCTTTATTAGATTCTTTGCAAAGAGAATTTACGTCCGTAGGTATCACAGATGCTCAATATCGCCTCACGGACACTGATTATTTGTAAGTCGGGAAGCGACGGCTGTTGATTCCTGGAATCATCGTGCGTAGAACCTATTTGTCACAGTAACCCACACTGATCTTTTGAGCCATCTAGGGTCTCCTTGGTTTTGTTGAGCTAGGTATGTAACGATCTATCTTGTATGCTCAACAATGCGACACTTACGGCATGTTGCGTCTCAGGCTGTTCCATAGGTTCGTATTGTTCATGTATGCACTTGCAACAAACTAATGCGTCAGACTACTATCATAGCTTACACCATCGCCGGGTGAGCATACTTTCGGTTACTGGCATTGCGGTGCATGCTCATCTACTTGTAGTTACAGCGATCACTACTTCTCTGTGTCTGGCAAGGAAGGACATGCTGATGTACGTGGCGACATGCTACCGGGTATATTTACGACCTCTCATTCTGCCAACGCACCTAGGCATACACGAGTACAGCACTGACTGCTAACATTGTGTGTGACTTATTGATCGCGGGATGTACCGTGTATTACTTGCGGGAGGGTAGAACGGCTTTTTACCGGTATGTAAACGAGGTACTTGACCATCCCGATGCGAATTAATCATATATACTGGACAGGACAAACAAAGCTGTCACTCTCCTGATGACCTATGCGCTCAGCACATGTGAGTTCTAGACACTCAGACTACCTTGCGCTCGCGCTCTGACAACGTACTGCATTAGGTGTTCTCGCCATGTAAGTCTTCGGCCAAGTGCTGGTCCTGCTCCAGATATCAACCGTGCCTTTCAGGATCTTCAGTCTCGTCTGTCTCATCACCGTACGTACCCGCTATTCTATACACACATTCACCATTGGCATGGCTAACAAGCTCACCGCGGCACCGATTCCAGTGGGTCACAATGAACCAAACGCTGATATACGCCGTATTCTATTGGATACTGATTCGAAGTGAGTAATCTAACGAGCAGGTACTTCCGTATCTGACTATGATACTCGCAGTCTATCCATGCTCCTTCCTATCGACGTATGTTCTGTATATTACTTTCAGTAAAACTGAGATCTGACTACTGACTACTTCCCTAGCCTGAACTCTCGGGAGGCTGTAAGACGCGCTTTCCAGGAAGACAATCCAGCACGCCAGCTCACCAGCCTTGAATCGCAAACTGGCAGTCCTTGTCAGGACAAGGATCGCCTCGAAGTGGCCCGCATGAGACCGTCGTCGAGCCGTGCTTTTGGTCCTTTTCGTTTCACTCCCAACACCCCGCTTCCGAGTCCGGTGTACCGCCTAGCAGAAGACGGTCGGGTTTCGGGTCGTGTCATAGCGTCCGCTACGACTCGGAGTACTGTAGTGTAGAAGCTACAGTACACACTGGCATGCTTTAGTCGAGAACTTTCACGACGTCTCCATGCAAGTGAAAAGTTTGAGCATGTAACTTATATCCTATACAGTATATTATTCACGAGCGCCGCCTATCTCGAGTGCGTGATTGGGAACGAGAACGAGATGAATTCGACAGACTACGAGTCTACTTATGTAAGCTGATGCTTTTAAGTCACGGGTCGGGATGAGACTAATAGCACTGTAAGTACAACTGTCGCTCGTCACAACCGAATCAAGGACACACAATTATGTAGACGTTCATCGATGCAGATGCATCAAGGCTGTTCGAGGCGAAGAACGAACCGTTGGTCACTACAAGTTACTGTAAAGTTGCTTATGTACGTTAGATTCCTTATTACTTATCCAAGATATAACTCAGTAGTGAGTCTAAGATAAATACTTATTTTCAGTAGGCTGGAAATGCGGCATAATCAACAGCGTACACGACGGTGCGGCCACTCTCCCATATCACTACCTCATACTACACCTGGTGTTAAGGCGTTCGGCCGCTCTCAGACCAGTTACGGACGACATACTGGATCACCTCTTGGAGATTTCTCGACGCCCGGAGGGAGTCTATGTCTGAGATCCCTCTACACAAGCTCAGGCACCCCAGAAAGCTATCTAAAGTCGGCTACGAGCGTCTCTCGAACGGCGCACCTTCACCCAACGGTGACGAACCCGGGTCTCCGAGCGACGGCATGCCTCTGAGTCCGCGCGCCGCGGCGTCAGCACGGCGGAAAGGTAAGCGGAGAGAGCGTTACGCTGACGATGCGGACCATCCGGACGAGCAGGCGGGTCTCTTGGGTGACGAGGAGGACGGAGAGTTCAGAGACGACGAAGACCAGGAGCAGAGGGATCATAGGGGGGAACCTTCAACGCCAGTATGTTCTCATTATGATGGCACCAGTATTGATTGTCCTAAGCCTGCAATACGCGAGGTAGCGTTCACCGTGGTCGCGCAAGTTCAAGCCACCACAAGACAAGTCGAGAACAGTGCCGTTCAGACCACCAGGTAGGAGCGCTCGTGTGAACAGAGCTACATTGACTGCATATATGCGCCACCAGAGAAGCAGCGCAACCGCTTCCCGGCGAATATCGTCCGCAACCAAAAGTACAATGCCTTCACCTTCCTCCCGATTGTATTCTATGAACAGTTCAAATACTTCTTCAACCTATATTTCCTACTGGTCGCACTATCCCAATTTATACCCGCGCTCAAGATTGGTATGCCGTTCTGCACGCTCCGGGGTACAGAGTGGCTCACTTGGACACAGGATTCATCGCGACCTATGTTGCTCCCCTTGCCTTCGTCCTATTCGTGACCATGGGCAAAGAAGCGTTTGACGACTACAAGCGGAATCTCCGGGACCGCGAAGCAAATTCCGCGCGCTACCTCATCTTCACGCCGCCTACCACCATCTCCAGGTCCTCGTCTTCCGATTTAGACCGCGACGATGGCCCGCATACACGCTCAGTTCCGTCTTCTGCGCTACGTGTGGGCGATCTCGTCTTGCTGGAGAAGAACCAGCGCGTTCCCGCTGATCTGGTCTTATTGCGCACCTCGGACTCGTCAGGGACTTGCTTCATCAGGACCGACCAACTTGACGGCGAGACGGACTGGAAGCTGCGCGTCGCAGTGCCCACGTGCCAGAAGCTGCCGTCCGAGCGGGAGCTCATGGACCTTGACGCGGAGATCTATGGTGAGTGGTTTCCATACGTCGATTCCATGCCTAGTCACAAATGCACGGTCATGGGATGATCTCGTAGCGGACGCGCCCACGAAGGATATCCATACGTTCATTGGCACGTTCACGATCAACTCACCCCGGTCTGCCGACGACGACGATGTACCCATGGTCCAGGTACCTACCGTCGAGCCCCTCAGTGCGGAGAATGTTCTGTGGGCGAACACTGTCCTTGCGGCTGGCTCTGCTGTTGGATTCGTCGTCTACACTGGCCCTGAGACACGTGCAGTCATGAACACGAGCCACCCTGAGACGAAGGTGGGTTTACTAGACTTGGAGATCAACCGACTCGCCAAGGTCAGTGCGCTCGCAGCAGTCCACCCGAGAATTTAACGTACCATACCCACTACTGATCAGATTCTGTGCGCGGTGACTTTCGCTCTGTCGTTCGCTCTTGTTGCTCTGAATGGCTTCCGTGGACTGTGGTATATCTACATTTTCCGCTTCCTCATCCTATTCTCGTCCATCATCCCGATCAGGTACGTGCAATTAACCTCCATACGTAAACTAGGTGCGACGAATTATATTCTAGTCTACGCGTGAACCTGGACATGGGCAAGACGGTGTACGCGCAACAGATCATGAAGGACAGTGAGATCCCAAATACGATCGTCCGTACAAGTACGCTGCCCGAGGAACTCGGCCGCATAGAGTATCTGCTCAGTGACAAGACCGGGACCCTGACGCAGAACGGTAGGCATTCCGTACCAAATTCTGCCGCGTCGACCGATTGACGCAGCGCATGCATAGAGATGGAGATGCGCAAGCTGCACATGGGTACTGTGTCGTACGGATATGACTCCATGGACGAGGTTGTGCATCAGCTTGCCGTAGCCTTTGGAGCATCTTCAGAACAAGGTATTGGAGGTGACCATAACTCACGGTGTTGTTGCTCATACAATGGCCAGCGCACAAACGCATAGGCTCTACCACAACGGGTGCGCAGCTTGCCACGAGGGGGCGTCGAGATATGTCCTCTCGTGTGCATGATGTCGTTCTCAGCCTTGCTCTTTGCCATAATGTGCGCCTCCAAATTACTCTTCACGACCGAACGCCAATCCAACTTTTCAGGTCACTCCGGTAACGAACGATGACCGCACCGTGACTTATCAAGCGTCTTCTCCGGACGAAGTAGCGATCGTCAAGTGGACTGAGTCCGTCGGCTTAACACTCACGTATCGCGACCGCACGCGGATCGAATTGCAGACGCCCTCCGGTTCCCGCATCACTTACGACGTGCTCGACCTCTTCCCGTTCACTTCTGAGTCTAAGCGCATGGGCATCATCGTACGCGACATCCAGTCGGGCGAAATCACCTTCCTGCAGAAGGGTGCCGATGCTGTCATGGCGCGTATCGTACAGCGGAACGACTGGCTTGAGGAAGAGTGCGCGAACATGGCCCGTGAGGGTCTCCGGACGCTTGTCATGGCGCGCCGCAAGTTGAGCGAACAATCGTACGCACTCTTCAAGGAGCGCCACCACCAGGCAAGCATCAAGCTCGAAGGTCGGAATGAGGCCATGACTACTGTGGTGTCGGAACTGCTCGAACGCGACTTGGAGCTGCTCGGTCTGACTGGTGTCGAGGACAAGCTGCAAGACGAGGTCAAGTCAACACTGGAGTTGTTGCGGAACGCTGGCATCAAGATCTGGATGTTGACGGGTGACAAGATTGAGACTGCGACGTGTATCGCGATATCGACGAAACTTGTCGCGCGGAATCAGTACATCCATCAAGTTGCGAAATGTTCGTCAGTTGTTACCTCTATCCATCGGGCGGCGTGCTCACGTTTCAACCACTGTCGGTATGATTAGTGAAGACGGCGACCGAAGTTCGAGACCAGCTGGAGTTTCTACAAAACAAGCTGGATTGTTGTCTTGTGATCGACGGGGAGTCTCTGCAGGTCGGTTCTTCCAGACCTGCGCCTGGGTGTAGCACCGTTGACAATGATTTGTAGCTGTGTCTGAACTTGTTCAAGAACGAGTTCATCGAGATCGCCACGAAGCTCTCCGCTGTCGTAGCATGTCGTTGTTCGCCTACCCAAAAGGCTGATGTGGCACGCTTGATCCGGCACCACACCAAGAAGCGTGTTTGCTGTATTGGCGACGGAGGCAACGACGTCAGCATGATTCAGGCTGCAGATGTTGGTGCGTAAAGCAACACAGATGACAAATGACCATCATCCAACTGGCTTGTTGTCAGGCGTCGGTATTGTTGGCAAGGAGGGGAAACAAGCATCTCTTGCTGCCGATTTCTCCGTCACCCAGTTCAGCCATCTTACGAAGCTTCTCCTTTGGCACGGGCGCAATTCGTATCGTCGCTCCGCGAAGCTCGCCCAGTTCGTCATCCACCGTGGACTTATCATCTCCGTGATGCAGGCTGTGTTCTCTGCAATCTTCTACTTCGCGCCTATAGCACTTTACCAGGGCTGGCTGATGGTGGGATACGCTACTGTGTATACGATGGCGCCTGTCTTCTCCCTGGTGCTGGACCGGGACGTCAATGAAGATCTCGCCTTGCTGTATCCGGAGCTGTACAAAGAGCTTACGAAGGTCTGTTGATCTCTTACGACCCTGTCGTCGAGGCTCACGCTGCTTGCAGGGTCGGGTGTTGTCGTTTAAGACGTTCTTCATGTGGCTCATGATCAGCGTCTACCAAGGTACGTCTGACTTCCTTACCTTATTGTAGGGCCCCATGCCTCATTTACGTCTAGGTGCCGCGATTATGATCATGTCCCTCGTGTTATTTGAGAACGAGTTCCTGAACATCGTCTCAATATCATTTACGGCGCTGATCCTGAATGAGCTCATCATGGTGGCATTAGAGATAACGACATGGTGAGTGGAACACCGTCTTTTCTCATCGCGCGACTTACATTAGGTGCACTAGGCACGTCTACATGGTGATTTCGGAGGTCGTGACGTTGTTCTTCTATGTCATCAGTATTGCGTTCCTCCCTGAGTACTTCGGTATGTCCAGCTGATGTAGCCATCGACGCATGCATACTGACCACACTGCTAGACCTCACCTTTGTCATCTCGGTGCGATTCGCTTGGAAAGTCGCAGTGATTGTGGCAATCAGCGCATTCCCTCTCTACATCATCAAACTTATCCGTAGTCGAATAGCACCAGCAGCATCTAGCAAACTGCTGTAATTTATGCCTTGCTTATGGAATTACGCGGAGATACGATCTTTAATGCATTTATATTGTTGTCAGTGTCATGCGGGTCAATAAGGATCATTGCAGGTAAGATGCGAGATGAAGTGGGTAACTGAAAAGACCGTCAAAATGCACTCAACTACCACTGTGAGGAGGAGGCGAAGGATTGTGAGCAGTGAAAGCATTAGCGAAGAAAGGTGTCGAAGGGTGCCACTCAGGGTTCGATGTCCAGATCGGATGTCCAATGGGAGGCGGCGGACGATTAGATGCAAAGCCAGGCGGTCCATGAGGCCCAGGAGCTCCCCAGGGTCCGGGAACCGAGCTACGCGGGCTTCCCCATCCTCCTCCTACTGGAGCGGGGGCGACAGCGCGGCGGCTCGGTGCCTGCACAACCTCATCGTCGTCCGCAGCGAGCGCAGACGAGCCTAGCACACCCTTTGGACTGGGCGAACGACGACTTGGTGATGTGGAACCAGAGCCCGACGCGTCAGCGGACGGCCGTGCAATGGGCGCGATGGGCGCAATTGGGCGAGTGATGGGGCCAGGATCGGCCGCAGGAAGACGACTCGTACTGGGAGTGAGATGCGTCGGCGAGGTCACTGTGTTGCCAGAGCGGTTGGGAGGCGCAATAGGTGCTGGAGGACCGATAGGAGTTGGGGGTGCAATGGCGGAGGGCGGAGCAATGGGAGCAGGCGGAGGGACGTTCCGTACAAACGGTGCGTCGTACGGTATGCCATTGCCGAAGGTTCGCGGCATCGCGGATGGCCCCAGAGGCGGTGGCGGGCCCTGCTGCATCGACGGACCAGGGCCCATACCGAAGGGACCCGGCGTGAACGGTCCGCGTGGAGACATTACAGGAGGCATTACACCCGGTGAGAACATGGGAGGCCCTTGGGGAGAGAGGTGGTTCGGAACATGCGCAGGCATCGGCTGCGGCGCCGTATGGTTTGTCACCACCGTCACGCGGGGCTGCTGAGGACGAGGTGGCTGGATGATGGGAGGAGCGGGAGTGGCGGGTTGCTGGGCGGGCGTAGGCTTGTTAAGGATCTTCTTCGACGGCGCAGCGTGGTTTGGCGACCGCTGAGAGGGGCCTGCTGTGTTAGCATTCCGAGGCGAAGTAGGTGGACGTGCATTGCGCGAGGCTGCGCGCTGCTGCTGCTGCTGTTGCTGAGCAGCACGCTCGCGCTCACGCGCCTCTCGCTCTGCCTTCTCCTTCTCCGCCTTTTCCCTCTCGGCTTTCTCCTTCTCCTCGCGCTCCTTCGCAAGCCGTTCCTCCCGTTCCTTGCGCTCCTTCTCTTCTCGTTCGCGCTTCGCAGCAGCAGCAGTGGCGCGCTCGGCGGCAGCCTTGGCTTCGCGCTCCTCGCGTACCTTGCGCTCGCGTTCTTCCTGCGCCCGTCGCTCTGCTTTGCGCTTCTCCTCCTGCTCCTTGCGCTTGCGTTCTCGCTCTGCCTCGCGCTCGCGCTCTTCAGCTAGGCGCTTCCGCCGTTCCTCCTCTTTGCGATGCTTCTCCTCCTCGGCTGCCTTCCGCACCGCTTCACGGCGTGCACGCTCCTCCTCACGCTTCTTGCGCTGCTCCTCCTCCTGCGCCGTCTGCTTTGCCTTGAGTTCTGCGTCCTCGGCTGCCTTCTCAGCCGCCTTGGCTGCGCGCTCCTCATCCTTCGCCAGCTTCTGCTGACTGTGGCGAGCAGAGGTAAGGACGTGAGTAGATAACCGGATAGACAGCATGACGCACCGCTTCTTCTCCTTCTTCTTCTGGTTCTGCGTCTGTTTCTTGGCCTCCTTTTCTTTGCTGTTCTTATCCTCCTCGTCGAGCTCGCGAAGGAGTTGCAACTGGCGCTCCTGCGCAACCTTTTCACGGTACGCCTGGAGCACCCGCTGCTCGAACATTCGTGCTGCAAAGATGGAGAACATCCGCTTGCCTTCCTCCATCTTCTGCTCCTCCGTCATCACCTACTGCGGGGTCAGACGCCTGTCACACGACTGAGCGCACAGATACGGACCTCCTCCTCGTCCTCATCTTCGTCGTCCTCGTCGTCCTCGTCGTCATCCTCATCTCCGTCGTCATCATCTTCATCCTCGCTCTCATCCTCGACGTCCTGCACGGCCTCATCCTCGCGCTGCATCCGCCGCTCAGCCAGCTGCTCCATCATCTCGAGAAACTTCTGGCCGTCGTTCTTCAGCAGGTCATCGGCTACGGTGAGGATGTTACCTGCTCCTGTAAACGTGAGATGAGAGGCCGGACGAAATGTAGCTGCGCGCTACTCGCCTGTGACAGTGAGGCTGTTGCCAAAGTGGCCCAAACCATCACGGCCGTTCGCCTTTGTCCCGTTGGGCATGGCGCGTCGTCGATGGGACGGCGCCCGCCGATCGGGTTGTGGCTTGACGTCGTCCTCGTCTGCCGCATCCGCCTCCTCCTCGTCCTCTTCCTCCTCCTCATCGTCCTCCTCATCGTCATACTCCTCCTCCTCATACTCATCCTCCTCACCGTCGTCCTCATCAAACTCGCTCTCGGGCGGCTTGACGGGCTTGCGGCCATTGGTCATGACGGCCCCTTTCGGGCGTGTGGCGGGATGGGCGGGAGCATGGGGATCAATGACGACGCCGTTCTTGTCGAGCTCAACGCTGCCTGGAAAGGGTCCTGGGCCTTGCGGAGGAGGGAGCGTGCCGCCAGAGGAGATGTAGCGCTGCTGGTAGTTCGCGTACTGTTCTAGCTCCTCATAATAAGCATCGTACAGTACCTCCAGCTCTTCTTCTATTGCACTCCTATCCCGAAACACGCGTCACGCAACAACGGAGGTGCACGATGCAGACACAGCGGGATTGGGTACGAGAGCCGATGCCGAGCGTCAGTAAAAATTTTCGTGCAAAGGGGGAGAGGCACACGGACCGCTTCCTACCGCAGACAGCGCAACTACAGCTGTGCTTCTGCTGCTCCTTCATCTTCTTGAGGACGGCCTCTTTCTCGATTTTCACGAGATTCCGACGCTCCTCCTCGCCCAGCCCAAGCCAGAAGTCTTTGATGCGCTCCCGCTCCTCTGTCGTGCTCGTACTCCATATCTTGTTATTTTTCGCCGTACCTCCCCCTCCTGTTCCGTTCGCTGGGGGACGCGGTTTGTGAGGTGCGGAGGCGTTCGAAGATGGTGGCGATGGATGGTGATGAGTATGATTATGCTGGTACGCGTGGGAGGTAATGGGGGCCTTGGAGGCTGCGCGACGACTAGGGGGTGGGTTGGCGGCTGGCGCGGGGGCAGCATAGGACATAGGCTGCTTGCCCGCCGCGCGCGACGACGGCGGAGGGTTGGACGACGGCGGAGGTCGCGCGGTCGGCATTGAGTTGTGAGCAGAGGATGGCGGCGGCGAATTTCCCACAGCCGCGTCGCCCGGCGTCTCCGGCCGCAGCCGGCCGGGGGCCTCCGCGCTGGCCGGCCGCGGTGGCTGTCGTTTCTTTTTCTTCGGCTTTTTCTTTCGCCCTGGCATATATTCCGGGCCGAACCCGCCGCCGCCTCCGCTCGACGGCGGCGCGTCGCGCGCGTACGTTGCCGCCGCGCGACGAACGTCGTCGACGTCGTCGAAGTCGTCGAGCTCGTCCTCGCTGTAGTAGTCGTCCTCCGCGTAGCCTTCTTCGCCGTACTCGTTCAGCAGCACGACGTTCGTCGGCGAGAGCGCGTCGCCCTCTCCGAGGGGGTGCAGCCCGTTCGCCGCCGCTGCCTGCTCCATCGCCAGACTGAACGCCGGGTCCGAGAACATTGCCGGGTCGAAGGGCACCGTCGTCGGGTACGCGCCCGCCGCGTACCGCGTGCTGTGCTTCGCGCCGCCACCGCCCGCGCCGGCGTGGATTTGCTGCGCGATCGCATACATCGCCTGCGTCTTTTCGTCGCCGTCACCATACGCGCTCAGATGCAAGTAAGTGTTCCGTACAAAGCTCCGTATGTGGTCCGGCAACTGCTCCAGGTACTCCTCGTCAAACCGGCCCTCCGCGTCCGGCTCGATCCCGCGCGTGAGGTGGTTCACTGTGGCGGCCAGGTCCGCTTCTGTCACCATTCCCGGGTTCTGGCGGGCGACGGCGGCGAGTGAGGCAGAGAGCGACGCGGTCGTGGATAGGTGCACGGACTCGAGCGAGGCTGTCGTGGACAAGTGCAGGGACTCTGGAGACAGGCCCGACCGGGACGCAGACCGCGTCTCGGGCTCCGCACTCACCAGCTGCGCCTGGATGTCGTCGTCCTCGCCGTACAGCCTGTCCTCGAACACCATGCCCTGGAAGGCGGGGTCGAGGTTTCCCTTGGTCTTCTTTTTCTTCTTCTTCTTGCCGTTTACCGTGGGTGCGGGCGTGGGCTCGGCCACTGGCATAGGTGCCGACGGCGGCGCAGGGACGACTGTGGGTCGCGAGACGGGTACGGCCGCCTTCTTGGCTTTGCCGGTAGCCATTGTTCGGGATCAGAGGCTGAGAATGGGCGGTAAGCAGGCAGAAGACTGCGAGAGCTCGGTGGAGGATGAAGCACCAGAAGCAGGCCGGAAATGGTGTGGGCTGTGCACTGCAGAAGCAGCTCCCAAGCAAACTACCGTTGAAGACAAGTGAAGGATATGCAGCAAAGTCAGTGCGCAAGCTGAGATGGGAGTCTGCACTTTCGAGGAGATGGTCAAGATTCAAGACTGGGAGAGCAGGGCGTCGCGCGATTGGCGCTGGCTGTAGAGAGTCACGTGAAGAGCAGTGCACGGGGTCCCACCGGAGTAGTGTTATTCTACGTAAGTACCAAACAATAGATGCCTGGTATTCTTCTCCTCGCTCTCACTCCCAGCGCGGTCGCCGAGGTGTGCTCGCCCCCCTTGTTCTACGGGCATGCTGTAGCTGGTTTAAAACAGACTTGACAAGGCAGCAGCAGCAACATCTCGGACGAGCGACCGGAGCGCCTCTATACTTGTTGCATAACCGTTGCGGCATCGATGCCCAGCGCAGGGAAACTCGCCATGATCTGTCCTGGATGCCGGAAAGACGTGAGATCGCTTGAACTTCGCTGCGACGCTCTGGTTCGAGTGCGTGCTGGACTATTCGAGTATGTGTCATGTTCAGCGACACGCAGCATTGGGTATGGGAATCAGACATCCGTCAATTGCGGGATTGGTACGAGACTTTGCTGGATCAAAGATGTGTCGAGTACCTAACATCGAGTGCAGGCTCGCAGCATGGGTATCCCTCTCCATGAGCTGGAATAGGTGCGTGCGCTTGCTACTCAGTCCGCCTGTAATTAGATAGGCACATATACAAGGACAACTGCATGACTATGGTCGTCGAGCCCTTCGTCCAACCTGCCTATCACGTCTATTTGATCAATGGTGCGGCTCGCACGTCTGCATATCTGTGTGTGACATACCCGTGTTACGTGTCTAGCAGTTCCTGCAACACGTCCTGAACTCTACACACAAGCTCTTTGCAGTGTTCGGCGCAACGTCTCCCATTCTGGCAGTTCTGTACCAGTGTGTTTGCAGGCCCAGGCTTGTTGCGGCGATGAGCGACCATGTGCCACATATCACCTCTATGACTTTCGCACCTACGTCTTGTCTGGCAAGTTCCATGCCGGCTGCAGATTATAGGTCCCCATAATGGACAACTTTACGTTTCGGGACCATGGCATCTCGCAGGTCGAAGCATCATCACCGATGAGGATGAGGCTCGAGTCTTTGCAGCTTGCGGTAACACACGGGGCGCTGAGCAACCGGACGGTGGACAGTCCGATTCGCAGGCCATCGTCACCTCTCGTCCTCGCGCTCTATCATTAGAGATGTGCGCGCATCGGCTATACGGGTGATAACTAATGTTTCGATGATGAGTGGATAGCAGCTCAGGTTCAGTTGACAATAACCGCGGTATGCGCTTACTCGCCATCAGCCAGTGCAGACCTAAGACTCAGTCGTCTCGGGTACGTCTCGCCGTTATCTCTTGTAGCAAGAGGCTCGTAATGTTCTCCCAACAGTTGCACCTTCATCTTGAAGCGGTTGACACCGGACTTCAGATCAAGTCATACTATTCAAAGGATACCGAGAGCGTGTAGTGGTACCGGGCTCGTACTCACCATCGCGGCGTGCTACTCAACTACCTTGGTCGTCATTAATGATACCCTGCTACCTGTCCAATTGTCCAAGCAACACTGAAGATACGGTGACTGGGCGCAAAGGCTTGCTCAGCCATCTAGTCTTCTCGGGCATGACGGTGCGAAAAAAAGGACAACCCGGCCGACGCTGGGGGTGAATCCCAGCGAGCATGTGAGTGGGTGCCGTGCGTCTTCATCGCTTGTGCGCGAGTTGGTGGCGTACCGCGGGGATTGCACTATACAGATTCTGACTCTGTCCATCTACACCCAGTTGCGATCGCACCCAATGTTGAGCGCTGAGCGCAGCAAGCATGTCTGCATTATGGTTCAAACGATAGGCGTCCGTGGGCATACTTGAAATGCGCCTCCCAGCGGGTTCATTCTTTGCGCCGAACTACTCCCTAGACCATTCCCTCGAGATGCGACCGTACGATTTCCGCGCAGCGACCCTCCTATCGCTCACCTCATCGTGGTTGTTTCCTCTTGCCTTGTGTTCCGTGCTTACCGCTTATAACGTACAAGGACCCTTGACTGTCGGCTCCGCGACATCGACGAGTGATACTGCAGCAGGAACAGCCATGTACGACCCCCCATATGGGTCTTATAGCGGCTATGCTGCGTACAACCCCATCGTCCTCGCGCCGCCTGCCGTCCCTTCTAACTTGTCGACTCGATACGATCTGGTGCTGCCGGGAAGCGCCTCCGATGTCCAAGGACTGAGCATCCCGCAAAGTGGTTCGTTCTTAGGCTTTTCAGTCGAGATGTCGGTAGCCACCCAAGTCAGTAAGTGACGCAGTAGCTGAAGGTGTATCTTGCGACTGATGTTTGGTTTGCAAGTTGGCATCAACGCGTAAGCCGTGTTTCGACGATGCTACCTGCTAGATCTTAATTCCTTTGGTGTAGCTCATTTCTACAGGTGTCTTTCTTAAACCTTATGCAACTTGTAGCGCAACGTGGCGGAAGCGTCAACGTTCGTGTAGGGGGTAATACTCAAGATTACGCGGTCGAAGTCACAGAAGTCACAGACAATCGTGGCATATGCATCAAAAAGGACATCGACGACACTCGTAATCCAGTGAGTTTCACCATACAAGAGGCTTCGAATTGATAGGCTTAAACTCGCGTACTTCTCAGACAGACACACCGACTCTGCTTTTCACACCCGAATTGCTCTACATGCTATCGAACGTATCCGCGCTCGTCAATGTCAATTGGTGGCTCGGCATCCCATTCAATGACACCTCCAATTGGCGACTGGGAATCGCCGAGACCGGCGAAGCTGTCCTCGGCGACAGGTTGCTGGGGTTCCAGGTCGGTAACGAACCCGACCTTTACGCCTTGCACGGGCACCGGGCTGCAAACTACAGCGTCTGGGACTATTTTGGGGAGTTCGCTGAGATCGTCGAAGCGATTGCTGCCGACGACAACATACCGATGCGTAACAACCTCATCGCACCGAGCGTGAGCGGAACATGGACGCCCGAAGATGTCTGGAACACCGGCTTTCTGACGTCATATGATTCGAGCCTCGGTGCTCTAGCTGTTGAAAAGTATGACTTCCAACCCATATGAGACTTCTATCTAATGCTCGTGTCAAAACCGATAGGTATCCTGACGACAACTGCGCTGCCCTATATCCCGGCGGTGATTTCGGCCCCGCAAAGGACCCACAAGGCGTATTCGCCAATTATCTCAATCACACGTCCGGCCAATTGTTGGTTCAGCCCTACCTCGCGTCTACAGCGCTAGCCCAACAAAATGGGAAGCCGTTCTACATGTTTGAAACGAACACAGCGAGCTGCGGAGGCTTTCCGGGCGTCAGCGACAGTTTCGGTGCGGCTTTATGGGCAGCCGACTACGCTCTGCAGATGGCATACAGCAATTTCTCAGCTGCAAATCTTCACGTTGGCGGCCTGAGCGATTCATATAACGTGGGTGGTTCTCACATTAGAGCGGTAGCTTCATTCTAACATTAGGTATAGCCCTTCATCCGTACGGTCACTCAAACATACAGCGATGACTTACTGATCGTCCATCTATAGCACCGCCAACGAATGAGTCATTGTTCCAGGGCTGGACGATCGGTCCGGTATTTTACTCCGTACTGGCCGTAGCAGAGGCTCTCGGCTCCTCCAACACTTCCCGCGTGATTGACCTCAATGCCAACAATGGCAGCATCTACACGCCCGCGTACGCTATCTACGAGAACAACGCCCTCGCAAGGCTAGCGCTCTTCAACTACGTCTCGGATGCCAGTGGGGCTAGTAATGTCACTGCGACCATTTCTATCGATGGCGGTCGAATGGGCGAGCAAGTAAGCACCCCGCAAACCGTGAAGATCAAGTACCTCGCGGCAGAAAGTGTTGCCGTCAAGGAGAATATCACTTGGGCGGGTCAGGTGCGGAACCTTGTCGTACCACGACAGTGTATTACTGAATATTGGGCAGACCCTAGGCAGTCGATTCGAAGTCGATGGCCGCCTCAAAGGCGGAGAGAATGTGCAGACCGTGCAGTGCGATACGTCCTCCGGCACTTGTCAAGTGAACGTTCCCGCACCGGGGTTGGCCCTCGTCTTCCTCTCCGACACCGCCTACGAGGAGGTCGAGCCAAGCAGCGTGGTTACGTTTGCGACCACGTCTGTAACCAACCCACTTGTGACTGTGACCGTCAACCCAAGCGTGCTTTCCACATCGAACGGGAACGGAAGCATCGTCCTCGGGGCTACGGACCACAGCAACAGAGCGGTGCCGAGAGGTAGTGTGGGTGTCGGTTTGTCGGTTCTCCTTGCAGCAGCGACGAGCTTTGTGTTGCTCAAGCGAATGGTGTGAGTGATGGCAGTTAGTGCTGTATGGACATCGGAATTGTGCGTCCATAGTTCGGATGTGACAAGCGACTGTTGTGATAGGCGGCGCTCGGCGTGAATATATAAAATATACCTGCGTAAGGAGAGACGTCGTGGAAGTCCTCGACTTCCACGCAGTACAAATGAGGTTCGACAAAAGCATGTATACTGCAGCTTCTACACTGCCGTATTCGCAGCAGACACTATGATACGGCCCGAGTTCCGACCGTCTTCTGCGAGGCGGTACACAGGAAGCGGGGTGTTGGGAGTAAAGGGGCCAAAAGCGCGGCTCGACGGTCTCGTTCGGGCCGCTTCGGGAGGGTCCTTGTCCTTGTCGGGACTGTCAACTTGCGTTTCAAGGCTGCTGAGCTCGCGGGCTGGAATGTCTTCCTGGAAAGCGCGTCTCACAGCCTCTCGAGAGTTCAAGCTGAGGGAGCAGTCAGTAGTCAATATTACTGAAAACAAAATTTAGAGCATACGTCGATAGGAAAGAGCATGGATAGACTGTGATTATCATAGTCAGATACAGAAGTGTCTGCTAGTCGGATTACTCACTTCGAATCAGTATCCAATAGAATACAGCGTATATCAGCCCTTCGCCCAGTGTGACCCACTGAAACCAGCGCCGTGGTGAGATTATGAGCCACGCTGACGGCGAATGTACGTATAGAATGGTCAGGCACGTACGGTGATGAGACAGACAAAGCTGAAGATCCTGGAAAGTACGGGTGAGATCTGGAGTAGGAACAACACCTGGCCGAAGACTTACATGGCGAGAACACCTAATGCAGTACGTTTTCAGAGCGCGAGCGTAAGGTAGTCTGAGTGTCTAGAACGCACATGTGCTGAGTGCATAGGTCATCAGAAGAGTGACGGCTTTGTTTGTCCTGTTCAGTGTATACTATGAGTATCACATGGTCGAGTACCTCATTTTCCATACCGATAAAAAGCCGTTCGACCCTCCCGCAGATAGTACACAGTACATCCCGCGATCAATAAGTCACACACAATGTTAGCAGTCAGTGCTGTACTCGTGTATGCCTAGGCGCGTTGGCAGAATGAGAGGTCATAAATACCCGGTAGCATGTCGCCACGCACATTCGCATGTCCTGCCTTGCCAGACACAGAGAAGTAGCGATCGCTGTAACTACAAGTCGATGAGCATGCACCACAACGCCAGTGATCGGAAGTATGCTCACCCAGCAGCGGTGTATGCTATGGTAGTAGTCTGACGCGTTAGTCCGTTGTAAGTGCATACATGAACAACACTGACCTATGGAACAGCCTGAGCCGCGATATGCCATACGTGTCACGTTGTTGAGCATACAAGATAGATCATCACACACCTAGCTCAACGACGCCAAGAAACCCCTAGATAGCTTGAAATATCATAATGGGTTACTGTGACAGATGGGTTCTACGTACGATGATTCCAGGAATTAACAGCCGTCGCTTGCCCACTCACAAATGATTAGTGTTCGTGAGGCGACATTGAGCATCCGTGATACCTACAGACATAGATCCTCATTGCAAAGAATCTATTAAGGCGTCACTTATGTTAGCATGGATTGGCACGGCTGTTACACGTACAATTGAACCAGCAACCCCACAAGGCCCTATATGCACCGAGCCGTCAGTACAAGCGTGCATTGGTGATACCGCAACGGTACGTACTCCGAAAGATATTTGAACCTGTTAACCTGTTAATGACATGCACTTAGAGTTATGAGGATGTCACGTACCGCAATACTCCTATGTAACGCAAAGTGGTCAACATCCCATGCTCGCCGAGCCGCTGACCGCTTACCACGTCACTGTATCAAGTGTTCCATAGTCCCCATAGTTCGTCACCGTATAGTGATAGTATGCGGTCGATATCAGCGCAACATGCAAGGTATCCAAGATGCTGGCGATAATATCAGCGTTCTGAGACTCGACCACTTGAGAACATGTGCAATTTACACAACGAGGGCAACCTGACACATCGGAAACCACAAGTCATGAGTCCATTGAGGTGGGGCTCGCGAAAAACGCCTTACAAAGAGCTTCAGCCGCAAGCTATCGCTTTTGCTGTATTGCGTATAGTACAACCACGTCTGCAGACATGACACGCCATAAAGCCTGACGCAATGGTTAGCATCGATAAAGGAAAGCAAGATCGGAGGGAAACGTACATAGTTGAGAGTATTATACCTATGAAGGCCGCGCCCAAGAAATTATCAAGGGGAATGAGCGTAGGCATGACTGTCGTCGAAGCAGAACTCTGAACAGCCGCAGGGTATAATCATATCAGCAATGCGCATTATATGTATACCGCTACGTATACCGCCCAAAGTGATGACGAGCGCGTCGGTGTAGAGGTCTACGCATGCCACGCGGACACATACCATGCTATGGTGCGTCTAAGCAATGGAAGTGCCTGTATCAGATAGGATGCCGCTGCGGCCACCTGTGATGACTGTACGTCTTTCTTTCGACAATCTTAAGTGTAGATAATCCCCGATGATGGATTCAGTGGTCACAGCATTATGGTCCCGCCCCGGTACCAGTTATTGTTGGAATTCATTCGAGAAAGGTGGCTTGTTCCCCTTCATTATTGATGTTAGCAGAAGCCGCTCACCCACGAGTCCAGAGACCAGCAGTAGACTATTGCACATACTATATCCAGTTCATCGCCTACAGCAGAGCAAGATGCTTTCAGCGTCAGCGAAATGCTCAGCGCTCAGCGCCGACATCCACCTTCGGCGACGAGAGAAGTCCGAATCGGATGGCCTCACTTGCGCACTGCCATTCTTGCAAGTGGGTATCTGATACGACGATGTTCGGGTGATACGGCGTGTGCATGTTGTGTGGCTATGCGAGAACGAGACGCACCAGCGCTATGTGATCAGAAGTCAAGGCTGGGGGCGGTCGTCGGGACACAGCTTGACAAGGTCTTTGACTTGAGACTGTGCAAGTGAGATAGCTAGATGACACCAGCCTGATGACGTCTTCCCAGTCAAACAGAAACATGCAGAATGGGTCTGACTTGTAGACACATGAGGGCCCCGAGTCCGCCGAGGACGGGCGATGGAGGATACACATCAAGATCAAGTACAGTTCGAAACATGGCTGGAATGAGAACCAGTCTAAGTGTGCGCGCACCGTCTACTTGGCCATGGCAACTCGTCGATAGCACTACAATCTAGCCCGCATGGATCGGAGTAGCGGGACTACAGTGTGGTTGTCCGGCACTGTACGGAGGATCCGGGCTTATCAACGCGAGCGGTCCGAATAATTGTTAAATCAGTTCTCTGCAATGATAGAAGGTAACGTCAGACACTAAGATGTCAGACAATGACGCTCACTTCGGTTGTGGGCCGGAGACGGACGCGTTCGTTAGTACAAATGCAGCCGCTGAGGTGAGTTTTGGCAGACATGACAGGGCATATCCAGGTACCGAAGCTGACTCTCCCTCACACTCGGGAGTGTCCTGTAAATCCCCGTCACGGTGCGTAGGTCAGGACTAGCGAACCTCCTGCGTTGCTCGCGAGTCGATGTGGCTTCCGCGGCAAATCCTGCATATTTCATCAGCCATGTCGATGCCTCGGGACAGTCCTCTTACATATTGACATAGATGTCCGAGTCTGGAATGGCGAGTATCAGTAGAGGTTGTCTCAACGTCCCGGTTTAGAGCGCGGTACGTCTTGAAGAGAAGCGGATATGCTGAATAGGTTATTGAACTAGGACGCCTTGCTCTCCGAGTAAAACGTGTACTTGAGTCGAATGGATGTCAGTGAGACTGAAGAACCCGGGCTCGACGCGAACTCCGTTCGTTTTGCAAGTGCTCGACGTTGTTGGCAATACCAAATAAGACATCCTTGGTGGCGAGTGTAGTTTTGTCCAAAGAACACAGCTAAGTATCGTAGGGCGCTGCTTATGGCATCACCAAAGCTGCAGAGAACCTCGTTGCAACGGTGGTCGGCATATAATCAAAACCTTCCGTCGCGCGAAGTTTGTGTCGAACCCAAGTCAAACCTTTCATGCACCAATGTCATGACTGCTTTTATGGACGAAGCACAACTTCCGGTCATCATTATAATTATCTTTGCTTCGAGAGCATATCTGAACACTCGCCTTGTACAATGGACCGTTTGTGGTAGACAGTTGAATCAGTCGTCGGCTTTGAAGGGACTGGGTGATCGTAGCATTACCAGAGATCGGCGCTGTCTCCACACGAGATTGACCGAGGGTAGTTATATCCTAGTCTCTGCGGTGCGCAAACCATGACACTTGAACGACAAGAGTGCAGCAGTAGTTGCGATGGTCGGACGGTGTGCGAAGGGTTATGCATAGACGCGCGCTCAGCGCTCAGGGGAAGCGCCTACGACGGCTGCAGATCTCAGAGCCCAGATCTCGAGATCTCAAGATCTCAACGCTCAGCGCTTAGCCTTTTGAACTTTGTCGTTTTCGATTTGTTTTCGATTCAATAATCCTCGAGGCCCCAAGAACAACCTAAATGTTACACGGTGCTATACTGCGTACTATCATCTTCCTTCCGATTAGAGCGCTCCTGTCAGTACTAGACTCTGCACTCGGCGTCTGAATCTCCGGTTCGATTTACAGCCTGAGATGGCAACTTGAGTCTCATAATATCGATGCTTTAAACGCAAGTCATGTATGTAAGTGCTCTCGCGACGAGCAATGCATGCTGAATGTGTATATTCAGTAGGAAGATTGATTGCGGTAGCTATGCAGAGGTTTCAGTCAAGACGTGAGCAGTGCGGCCGGAAGCCCATTTTCGACCAGTCTGCCATGAACCAGTCTGCCATGAAGACGCGTCAGCGTCGGCCGCGGAGCCAGGGAGAATTACGCCGAGGTCCAAGATGGTTCTCCCATAGGTCATTAGGCTGACATCTCAGGGCCGCAGTCTTCTGGCTGGTTGGGCAAGTATATAGCTCGTCAGTGACAGCAGAATGCCGTGTCCTAACCTCGCAACTATTAGTCCAAGTGTTCGCACGCGATGCCGTCGTTCGCTCTG